TGGAGGAAGTAGCGGCCCGTGGAGTCAGGCTGGGAGTTGATCTGGAGATGCCAAGGACGCCAGCCGTGTATGAGGAGAAGGTTAAGTGGACCGTGGATGCTACAGATGAGATCATGAGGGACATGCTGGCAGAAAACTACGAGTCGGCCGAAGAGAATGCAGAAGACATAGCTCGGCAAGTCCTTCATGAGGTGGAGATTGGCACCATTGTGAGGATGATGGAGCATGAAGCGAGGAGGAAGTACAAGGGCCGATTGGCGGTGGCGGCTCTCGGGGCTGTCCCGAAGGAGCTTGGGACAAAGAAGGTCCGGTTGATCCACGATGGGACTTACAGCGTGGACGTCAACAGGAGGATCAGGGTGAGAGACAGAATGCGCTTCCCGCTGATCGATGACGCCACGGCAGTGCTGAGACAGGTGGAGCATGAGCTGGATGGAAGTCAGGGGGCAATTCGCTTCTCCGTCCTCTACGACATCGCCAGAGCACACAAACTAATCCCAGTCGATGAGGAGGATTGGGGACTACAGGCCTTTCGCTTGCCAGGCGACAAATCGGGAGACATCTTCGTGCACACCAGGGGCACTTTTGGGGTGGCGAGCGCCGCCTACTGGTTTGGCAGGGCCATCTCGGTTGCAGTGCGCTGTGTGCATCGCCTTCTCGGCAGGAGGTACGGTCTCCTACACCTCATATATGCAGATGATGGTTGGCTGACAGCGACCGGTCGGGAGTTCTGGAAGAAGATCTTGATGTGGTTCTTCACCTTTGAACTGCTAGAGATACCCGTGACCTGGTCGAAGGTGCGAGGCGGCACTGAGGTGAACTGGATTGGCTATTGTCTCAATGTTCACACCTTCCAAAAGGGCATCAACCAGTCGAAGAGAACGTGGATCGTCGATTGGATAGACCGCAAGGAGGAGCAAGGAGGTGTGCTCGGGCGAGAGCTCAAATCGGTGCTGGGGCGGCTCAGCTTCGTTGCCGGGGCGCTGAGACACGTCCGCCCGTTCCTGGCCCCTCTCTTTTCATGGGCTTCGACCATGGCACCGGGCACTTTCTCGAAGTTCCCAGATGCTGTGATGATTTTGCTGGACTTCATACGAGAGGAGGTGAAGAGAAAGCCAATGAGGCGTGCCGAGCCGCTAGAGAGGTGCCCTGTGGACATCTTCAGGGTTGACGCCAAGGCGGCAGGGGAGGACATCGTCATCGGTGGCTGGGAAACGGGGATGAC